CAACGAGATCGACGTGGTGGCGGTGGTGGACATGAGCACGGACGCCGAGTACTTCGCGTACCAGATGAAGTACGACACGGTGCACGGCCGCCCGACGTACACGGTGGAGGTTGCGAAGAGCGCGCCGGAGGTGAAGAAGCCGGATGTGCTTGTGGTGAACGGCCACCGCATCCTGTGCGTGAAGGCGCAGCGCAACCCTGCGGACCTGCCGTGGGGCAAGCTGGGCGTGGACTACGTGATCGAGTCGACCGGCCTGTTCACGAACAAGGCGAAGGCGGAGGGCCACGTGAAGGGCGGCGCGAAGAAGGTCGTGATCAGCGCTCCGGCGTCCGGCGGTGCGAAGACGATCGTGATGGGCGTGAACCAGCACGAGTACGACCCCGCCAAGCACCACGTTGTGTCGAACGCGTCGTGCACGACCAACTGCCTCGCCCCGATCGTGCACGTGCTGACGAAGGAGAACTTCGGCATCGAGACGGGCCTGATGACGACCATCCACTCCTACACCGCCACGCAGAAGACGGTGGACGGCGTGTCGATCAAGGACTGGCGCGGCGGCCGCGCTGCTGCGATGAACATCATCCCCAGCACGACCGGTGCGGCGAAGGCCGTGGGCATGGTGATCCCGTCGACGAAGGGCAAGCTGACCGGCATGTCCTTCCGCGTGCCGACGCCGGATGTGTCGGTGGTGGACCTGACCTTCCGCGCCAACCGCGACGCCTCGATCCAGGAGATCGACGCTGCCCTGAAGAAGGCGTCCAAGACGTACATGAAGGGCATCCTCGGCTACACGGACGAGGAGCTGGTGAGCAGCGACTTCATCAACGACGCCCGCAGCTCGATCTACGACGCGAAGGCGACGCTGCAGAACAACCTGCCCGGCGAGAAGCGCTTCTTCAAGATCGTGTCGTGGTACGACAACGAGTGGGGCTACTCCCACCGCGTGGTGGACCTGGTGCGCTACATGGGCGCCAAGGACCGCGCGTGCGCGAAGATGTAAGTGCGCGGCTAGCCAGCGAGTGAGCGAGCGGTCGCGTTGCGTGCGCGTCGGAAGGCACCGGGGTCCTTGCTGCACTGTTAGGAGGGAGGGAGGATCGGGCAGTGGTCGGGGTGTGGGAGTGCGCACCGGCCGGTGCGTGAGCGCGGCGGCTTGGGGGCGAGGTGCCGACGCCACCGACCCTTGGAGCTGCATCGCCATGCACGTGAGCCAGACGCGTAGGTGCACGTCCGCTGCGGGCGTGCGGCTTGCGCCAGTCTTGTTTGGCGCCGCCACCCCTCGGCTTCGCGGCCCGCGCCTCCTTCCTATTTTCTCTTCTCTGTTTTCTATTTCGTCATGCTTTGTTGACTGAGAGCTGACATGGTTAAGGCGCGTGCCGCGATCGTGGTAAAGCACGCTGTGTTCAAAAACAAAAAATATCTCTCTCTCTCTCTCAACTGTAACGATTCTCCGCGTCTCGATGCTTTGACCGCAACTCAAAGCGCTCCTCGAGCGCCTCAAAAAGTGAAAAGGAAACGTCCATATATATATATATGTTTAGTTCTAACCACCACTGCCACCGACATTGAGAGGCCGGCCGCACCTCCGCGGCGCCGAGCTACACGACTGCGGCACTGTCCAGGCGTCACTACGCGGGACTGCGCGTTGTGTTGCCCGGCTCCGCGGCGCGTCTCCATCTCTGTGTGCTAAACTGAGAAGACGCGGGACCTGCACCGGCAGCGGCGCATGGAGCTGCATACACACCTGCTCGCCGGTCGCTGCCTGTGCACGCGCCTGGCTCTCTCGGATGTCGTAGTGGGCTCCAAAAAGTAAGAAAACAAAAACCCCGTTAATGCTTCAAAGGTAAAATGCTTCCGTAGCAGGTCGAAGGACAGAGGTCTCTGTAACGCCTCAAAGGATAAAGGACAAATTTTTCGCTGACGTTTCGAAGGACAAAGGACAAAGGATAAAGGTATCCACGCAAAAGGAAGTGCAAAACATGACATAATTTTCGACTCGGCGATCATCGTTGCGTTGGTGCGAACGGAGTCGGGTGCGCGGGCTGGTTACCACGCAAGACGACCGCGGTTGCTGTGTGTGCGTACGTGTGTCTCTGTGTGTGTGTGTGTGTGTGTGTGTGTCAAATCACGTATTGTGTGCTGCACGTTTGGGGTAGTGCGCTGAGAGAGGGGTGTATGCTGGCTCTCTTCTGCGGCGGTGTGTGTGAGCAAGCAGCAGCCGAGCACGCGCTCCCACCCCTTCTGCGTGAACCGCGGAGCTTGTCGCCGCGCACTGTCAGTGGCGTGGCGTGTGCCCTCCTTGCGGCGGTTGCCGCGTTTGCCGTCGTGACGCGCGCAGCACATTTCCCTCTACCCCCCTCCTCTCCTCCCTTCTCTCCCCCATCTGCTCCCTTCTATCCCAACGCCACCGCGCGCACAGAATTCTCCCAGCGCTCTCCTCGTCAATATACACGCCCTTAACACACACAAACATAACTCACCCGTCTCCCTAACCACATAACAATGGCTCCGCTCAAGGTCGGCATCAACGGCTTCGGCCGCATCGGCCGCATGGTGTTCCAGTCGATGTGCGAGGACAACGTCCTCGGCAACGAGATCGACGTGGTGGCGGTGGTGGACATGAGCACGGACGCCGAGTACTTCGCGTACCAGATGAAGTACGACACGGTGCACGGCCGCCCGACGTACACGGTGGAGGTTGCGAAGAGCGCGCCGGAGGTGAAGAAGCCGGATGTGCTTGTGGTGAACGGCCACCGCATCCTGTGCGTGAAGGCGCAGCGCAACCCTGCGGACCTGCCGTGGGGCAAGCTGGGCGTGGACTACGTGATCGAGTCGACCGGCCTGTTCACGAACAAGGCGAAGGCGGAGGGCCACGTGAAGGGCGGCGCGAAGAAGGTCGTGATCAGCGCTCCGGCGTCCGGCGGTGCGAAGACGATCGTGATGGGCGTGAACCAGCACGAGTACGACCCCGCCAAGCACCACGTTGTGTCGAACGCGTCGTGCACGACCAACTGCCTCGCCCCGATCGTGCACGTGCTGACGAAGGAGAACTTCGGCATCGAGACGGGCCTGATGACGACCATCCACTCCTACACCGCCACGCAGAAGACGGTGGACGGCGTGTCGATCAAGGACTGGCGCGGCGGCCGCGCTGCTGCGATGAACATCATCCCCAGCACGACCGGTGCGGCGAAGGCCGTGGGCATGGTGATCCCGTCGACGAAGGGCAAGCTGACCGGCATGTCCTTCCGCGTGCCGACGCCGGATGTGTCGGTGGTGGACCTGACCTTCCGCGCCAACCGCGACGCCTCGATCCAGGAGATCGACGCTGCCCTGAAGAAGGCGTCCAAGACGTACATGAAGGGCATCCTCGGCTACACGGACGAGGAGCTGGTGAGCAGCGACTTCATCAACGACGCCCGCAGCTCGATCTACGACGCGAAGGCGACGCTGCAGAACAACCTGCCCGGCGAGAAGCGCTTCTTCAAGATCGTGTCGTGGTACGACAACGAGTGGGGCTACTCCCACCGCGTGGTGGACCTGGTGCGCTACATGGGCGCCAAGGACCGCGCGTGCGCGAAGATGTAAGTGCGCGGCTAGCCAGCGAGTGAGCGAGCGGTCGCGTTGCGTGCGCGTCGGAAGGCACCGGGGTCCTTGCTGCACTGTTAGGAGGGAGGGAGGATCGGGCAGTGGTCGGGGTGTGGGAGTGCGCACCGGCCGGTGCGTGAGCGCGGCGGCTTGGGGGCGAGGTGCCGACGCCACCGACCCTTGGAGCTGCATCGCCATGCACGTGAGCCAGACGCGTAGGTGCACGTCCGCTGCGGGCGTGCGGCTTGCGCCAGTCTTGTTTGGCGCCGCCACCCCTCGGCTTCGCGGCCCGCGCCTCCTTCCTATTTTCTCTTCTCTGTTTTCTATTTCGTCATGCTTTGTTGACTGAGAGCTGACATGGTTAAGGCGCGTGCCGCGATCGTGGTAAAGCACGCTGTGTTCAAAAACAAAAAATATCTCTCTCTCTCTCTCAACTGTAACGATTCTCCGCGTCTCGATGCTTTGACCGCAACTCAAAGCGCTCCTCGAGCGCCTCAAAAAGTGAAAAGGAAACGTCCATATATATATATATGTTTAGTTCTAACCACCACTGCCACCGACATTGAGAGGCCGGCCGCACCTCCGCGGCGCCGAGCTACACGACTGCGGCACTGTCCAGGCGTCACTACGCGGGACTGCGCGTTGTGTTGCCCGGCTCCGCGGCGCGTCTCCATCTCTGTGTGCTAAACTGAGAAGACGCGGGACCTGCACCGGCAGCGGCGCATGGAGCTGCATACACACCTGCTCGCCGGTCGCTGCCTGTGCACGCGCCTGGCTCTCTCGGATGTCGTAGTGGGCTCCAAAAAGTAAGAAAACAAAAACCCCGTTAATGCTTCAAAGGTAAAATGCTTCCGTAGCAGGTCGAAGGACAGAGGTCTCTGTAACGCCTCAAAGGATAAAGGACAAATTTTTCGCTGACGTTTCGAAGGACAAAGGACAAAGGATAAAGGTATCCACGCAAAAGGAAGTGCAAAACATGACATAATTTTCGACTCGGCGATCATCGTTGCGTTGGTGCGAACGGAGTCGGGTGCGCGGGCTGGTTACCACGCAAGACGACCGCGGTTGCTGTGTGTGCGTACGTGTGTCTCTGTGTGTGTGTGTGTGTGTGTGTGTGTCAAATCACGTATTGTGTGCTGCACGTTTGGGGTAGTGCGCTGAGAGAGGGGTGTATGCTGGCTCTCTTCTGCGGCGGTGTGTGTGAGCAAGCAGCAGCCGAGCACGCGCTCCCACCCCTTCTGCGTGAACCGCGGAGCTTGTCGCCGCGCACTGTCAGTGGCGTGGCGTGTGCCCTCCTTGCGGCGGTTGCCGCGTTTGCCGTCGTGACGCGCGCAGCACATTTCCCTCTACCCCCCTCCTCTCCTCCCTTCTCTCCCCCATCTGCTCCCTTCTATCCCAACGCCACCGCGCGCACAGAATTCTCCCAGCGCTCTCCTCGTCAATATACACGCCCTTAACACACACAAACATAACTCACCCGTCTCCCTAACCACATAACAATGGCTCCGCTCAAGGTCGGCATCAACGGCTTCGGCCGCATCGGCCGCATGGTGTTCCAGTCGATGTGCGAGGACAACGTCCTCGGCAACGAGATCGACGTGGTGGCGGTGGTGGACATGAGCACGGACGCCGAGTACTTCGCGTACCAGATGAAGTACGACACGGTGCACGGCCGCCCGACGTACACGGTGGAGGTTGCGAAGAGCGCGCCGGAGGTGAAGAAGCCGGATGTGCTTGTGGTGAACGGCCACCGCATCCTGTGCGTGAAGGCGCAGCGCAACCCTGCGGACCTGCCGTGGGGCAAGCTGGGCGTGGACTACGTGATCGAGTCGACCGGCCTGTTCACGAACAAGGCGAAGGCGGAGGGCCACGTGAAGGGCGGCGCGAAGAAGGTCGTGATCAGCGCTCCGGCGTCCGGCGGTGCGAAGACGATCGTGATGGGCGTGAACCAGCACGAGTACGACCCCGCCAAGCACCACGTTGTGTCGAACGCGTCGTGCACGACCAACTGCCTCGCCCCGATCGTGCACGTGCTGACGAAGGAGAACTTCGGCATCGAGACGGGCCTGATGACGACCATCCACTCCTACACCGCCACGCAGAAGACGGTGGACGGCGTGTCGATCAAGGACTGGCGCGGCGGCCGCGCTGCTGCGATGAACATCATCCCCAGCACGACCGGTGCGGCGAAGGCCGTGGGCATGGTGATCCCGTCGACGAAGGGCAAGCTGACCGGCATGTCCTTCCGCGTGCCGACGCCGGATGTGTCGGTGGTGGACCTGACCTTCCGCGCCAACCGCGACGCCTCGATCCAGGAGATCGACGCTGCCCTGAAGAAGGCGTCCAAGACGTACATGAAGGGCATCCTCGGCTACACGGACGAGGAGCTGGTGAGCAGCGACTTCATCAACGACGCCCGCAGCTCGATCTACGACGCGAAGGCGACGCTGCAGAACAACCTGCCCGGCGAGAAGCGCTTCTTCAAGATCGTGTCGTGGTACGACAACGAGTGGGGCTACTCCCACCGCGTGGTGGACCTGGTGCGCTACATGGGCGCCAAGGACCGCGCGTGCGCGAAGATGTAAGTGCGCGGCTAGCCAGCGAGTGAGCGAGCGGTCGCGTTGCGTGCGCGTCGGAAGGCACCGGGGTCCTTGCTGCACTGTTAGGAGGGAGGGAGGATCGGGCAGTGGTCGGGGTGTGGGAGTGCGCACCGGCCGGTGCGTGAGCGCGGCGGCTTGGGGGCGAGGTGCCGACGCCACCGACCCTTGGAGCTGCATCGCCATGCACGTGAGCCAGACGCGTAGGTGCACGTCCGCTGCGGGCGTGCGGCTTGCGCCAGTCTTGTTTGGCGCCGCCACCCCTCGGCTTCGCGGCCCGCGCCTCCTTCCTATTTTCTCTTCTCTGTTTTCTATTTCGTCATGCTTTGTTGACTGAGAGCTGACATGGTTAAGGCGCGTGCCGCGATCGTGGTAAAGCACGCTGTGTTCAAAAACAAAAAATATCTCTCTCTCTCTCTCAACTGTAACGATTCTCCGCGTCTCGATGCTTTGACCGCAACTCAAAGCGCTCCTCGAGCGCCTCAAAAAGTGAAAAGGAAACGTCCATATATATATATATGTTTAGTTCTAACCACCACTGCCACCGACATTGAGAGGCCGGCCGCACCTCCGCGGCGCCGAGCTACACGACTGCGGCACTGTCCAGGCGTCACTACGCGGGACTGCGCGTTGTGTTGCCCGGCTCCGCGGCGCGTCTCCATCTCTGTGTGCTAAACTGAGAAGACGCGGGACCTGCACCGGCAGCGGCGCATGGAGCTGCATACACACCTGCTCGCCGGTCGCTGCCTGTGCACGCGCCTGGCTCTCTCGGATGTCGTAGTGGGCTCCAAAAAGTAAGAAAACAAAAACCCCGTTAATGCTTCAAAGGTAAAATGCTTCCGTAGCAGGTCGAAGGACAGAGGTCTCTGTAACGCCTCAAAGGATAAAGGACAAATTTTTCGCTGACGTTTCGAAGGACAAAGGACAAAGGATAAAGGTATCCACGCAAAAGGAAGTGCAAAACATGACATAATTTTCGACTCGGCGATCATTTGGTGTTGCTGGTGCGAGTTGCGTTTGTTGGACGCCTTTACCCCTGCACGGGTGCAATGAGCATCTTCGTGGAAGATGGCGGCGTTGACTTTTGTCACCTGCTGAAAACGGTCGTGTAGGGTATCTTTTTTTACTCATGTGTGGCCATGGATGTATTGCGATCCGGTGTGTTTGACGTTATTGCGTTGTGTGATTTTCGTTGAACGTAGGTACGTGGGCGTGAGTTTTGGTGGTGCCTTACCTCGAAGGTAGAGTCTTCTCGTTTCTGTTATCCCTTCACAACCCTCCCATTTTCGACTTCCTTGCTGCCTTCCTCTTTCGGGCGATGCATGCTCTATTTATGTTGTCGGCGAAGGTCTCGTTTCTGTGCTCTCATCCCCACACGGCAACGGAGAGCAAAGGCTATAGTTGCCTTACAGCTGAAGTCGTTAGTAGTGAAGTGTATGTAGCGCACTTCTCGAAGCAGAGTTCGCTTCTCCACCCAAGGCCAATTGGCGGTACGACTTTTTTCCCTTCTGCGTTTTCGTTCGTGGGTGCAATTGCACCGCTTTCTTTTCTTCGATAGGATTTTTCTTTTACTTCTGCTTCTAGGTGAAAAGGATCTACGTTAGGGGTCCGATCTCAAGAGGACATCACTTTTTTTCTTTGTAGTACTATTCCCTTTAGCGCTAACAGGCACACTCAAAGCAAGCAAAATGATGAAGAAGACGTTCCCGCTGCTGTGGACGTTCTCCGACAACCGCGGCTACTACAGTCCGCCTGTCTACATGCCGCTAGAGTACGCCAGCCGTGTGACAAACCAAAAGCAGCTTCAGTTCACGCACCCGCGAGATCCGAAGTACACGTGGAATACCGGCGTCAACGAACTAGCCAGTCTGCACCCTGGCTTGCTCGGACCAGGACGGAAGACGCCGCAGCTGAACTACTCCAACCGCGGCGGTATTATCGCCGAAATTCCTCCCGTCCCCGTCTATCGAGAGCACATTTGGTGCATGGGCCACAGCCATTTTATTCTGCAGCACCCTCGCATTTTTATCAAGTGCCCCCGCGGCAAGGTGGTGGTGTGCAAGTGGTGCCGTCTGAAGTTCATAAACATGTCCACCGCGACCGACAACGACGACGACTGGTTTGAGGAGGAGCAGAAGATCGCCACCACGCCGGAGTCGAAGGAGGATCTCACGCGGCCGATTCGCGATATGGGCGGTGTGCTGCGGCAGAACCCGTTTCAGGACAACAAGGAACCCGACCCGCACGTGTACCGCGCTGTCTTCAACCCGGAGCGGTACCGCTGGAAGCACTCGCACACGGAGCATTACGAGGTGCACCCCGCGTACGCGAAGAAGGCAGGCGAGTCCGACTGCGAAGACCACCATCACTGAAACCCAATCGAGTTCGTGATGTCAGAAAAACAAAGGAATCGTTTCAATAAGGAAATGCAAATCTGAATGGTGATGTGCTGCTTGAAGAGGAGATTTTTATTTCTCCGTTTGCCTCCCAGAAGAGGTGGCAACGGGGAGAGCGGCTGGCGGGAAAAAGCGATAGTGTTTGGCCTTCACCGTTCACGGGCGGGTTATTGGCCAAACTACGTGCACTATCATTTCTGTGGTTTGTTTCAAGTTCTTGTTGTATTTGTTGTTGTTCTAGTTACCTTCCCTTTTCTCTTTTTTTGGCGGCCAGCTATAGTTTGTGTAGTACCAACACACACACGTGTGCGCGAACGACGCGCTGAAACGCACGCTTTATCTCGACAGCGCGTTTTTCTTTTCCTTTCTTCTCTCCTTCCCGCTTCTTTCTTGGTCTTCGTTTGCTGCGTTTCGTCTTATCTTTTCTAGTCTTGCTGTCGCGGGAGATTCATTCGTATCAAAAAGAAAAAGAGAAGGAGAAACGTCACCACCACATCAACAGCCGAAGGAAAAGGCGTGCTCAAAGCGATCGTAACTCTAATGCGTCGCACTTCAGAGAGAGTGTGTGTCGGTTGGATGACATTTTTCTCGTTTGCTATTATTATTTATTAGCAGCTTCTCAAATGTGCTTTCCTGCATGTTTTTTTTTTTTTTTGCCTGGACTGGGGCGCGATGGGCCGAACGAGATTCTGTTACTTTGTCTCTCTCTCTGTCGCTCGTACGCCGCTGATGTACCACGCCTCCGTGAAGGAGAGGAAACCTCAGCTTTACGTGCGTTGCACCTCCGTGATCGGAGCACGTACTCTTCACGTTTCTGTGCTCAACCAAAGCGCTTTTCACCACTGTTCTTTTCTCCTTCGTAATGTAATGTCCCCCTCCGGCTCGTTGTACACGTGTGTTCCCGCAACCTTCATCTTTTTTTCCCTTTTTCGTTCTCAAATCCTCACTCGCTCCTGCGATCCCCTACTTCTGTGGTCGAAAACGCCACCGAAGAGTCGTGTCCAACGCTGTGTATACGTGCTCGCCGTGCGCTCCATGTTTTTTGTTTCCCATCTTCTCTTCGCTCCAAAGCCTTTAAAAAAAGAACTTCTTTTTTTAAATTCTAGCGTTGCTTTGAGCTGTGTCTTTGGTGGAACGGCGCTGTGGTCTCAACTCGCCTCTGCTTTTCAAAACAAAGTGGCCTTCCTTCGTAACTGCTCCCCAATCCTGGTTCGTGTGTGTATGTGTGCGTGAATCCAACGGAGCATCACTCCCAGTTCTTTCATACTATTATCATTATTATTTCTTCTCCGACAAATCACTATATATTTTTTTCGTGTTTAGCAGCACGCATATATTTCGCTTGTAGATCTGCGCTAACGGCAAGCATTTGACTGCGTCAACGTCAACATCCAGAGAACAGAAATAAAAATGGCTACTCGCGCTATTAAGGAAACACTGCCCGACCCTCCGACGACGGAGGAGGAGTTGATGGCCGTGAATAACCTTCTGTTTCGTCTCAAGGCCGGCTCCGTCGAGTTGCGCCGTCTCACCACAACCCATGTAGTGCACCACAAGAAGTTCTCCTTGACAGAGGATGGCAAGGCGCTGGAGTACAAGCCTTCCAACAAAACGAAGCGTCAGACCATGCTCTTCACAGACCTCTACGAGGTCACGAAGATCGACCAAAACAACCACGTGTACAAAGCTGCGCACCTCAACAAGAAAACGGACGTGGTGGTGAAGATGAACACCCGCACAGATCGCAGCTGGCTTATCGTCTTTGACGACAAGGCTAGCGCCAAGACGTGGATGCAGATGGTCGGCATGCAGCGGAAAGGCTCTCACCTGAATGCCGACGCGGCGGTATCTTCGGAGGACACGCTGAAGGGACGCATTCGTGCAACGTGGGAACGGGCTGACGTGAACCACGACGGCAAGGTGGACCTCAAGGAGGCGAAGAAGCTGATGGTGCGCATGAACGTGGAGATTTCAAACCCGATGTTAGCGGAGCTCTTTAAAGCCCACGACGTTTCTGGGGACGGCACGCTGGACCTGGAGGAGTTTACGACCCTCTTCGTGCACCTCACGTCACACAAGGAGCTGCGTCCACTTTTCAAGCAGTACGCCGCTGATCAAGACTGGATGACGCGGAACGAGTTTGACAAGTTCATGGCAGAGCAAGCGGATGAGAGCACTGACGCCGTCTACAACGAACTGCAGCCCAACAAAAAGGGCAGCATCACCTACACGTCGTTTGTGCATTACCTGCTCAGCCCGCACCGCAACCCTGCGCTGGACCCGGAGCACCTGAAGGGCGTTGTGGACGACATGCAGCAGCCAATAAAAGACTACTTCATCAACTCATCGCACAACACGTACCTGTCTGGTGACCAATTCCGCTCAAAGAGCGACATTGACATGTACAAGCGCGCCCTCATCGCGGGCTGTCGCTGCGTGGAGCTAGACTGTTGGGACGGCAAAAACGGCGACCCCATCGTCTACCACGGCTACACCCGCACGTCAAAGATCCGGTTTGCCGACGTCATCGAGACCGTTCGCCGCCACGCCTTCGTGACGTCGCCGTACCCAGTTATTCTCTCGCTAGAGGTGCACACCTCCGTCGCGCAGTGCAACGTCATGGCTGACCACCTACAGACGATTCTGAGTGACACGCTCATGATGGCAAAGGACGTGCCGAACATGACCTACACCCCTGACGCACTGAAAGGCAAGGTGCTGGTGAAGTGGAAGCTGCCAGGCAAGGATGTGGACGATATGGAGACGCCACGGTCGGATGTGGAGTCGGTGGAGGGCTCGCCGGTCTCGTCCGGCAAGGCGGAGACGACGGTGCACGCCGACGTGCCGAACCTGCTGACCAACTGCGTCACGATTGGTGCCTTCAAGACGGCCAACTGGGGCAAGGACGCCGCGCCGTACAACATCCAAAGCTACGCGGAGACAAAAGTGGAGGCGTTTGCAGCGACAGCACGCGACAACTTCACCGGACAGAATTCGCGCATGCTGGCGCGCGTCTACCCGAAAGGCTCGCGTATTGGGTCCTCCAACTACAACCCGACCCTGGCATGGTCGATGGGTGCGCAGGTGGTCGCGCTCAACTACCAAACCTGGGACAACGATATGCGCCTGAACGACGGCATGTTCTCGCTCAACAAAGGCTGCGGCTACGTGCTGAAGCCAAAGTACCTGCGTGACGTCGCGAGTGGTACGATGCCCACGGCTTGCACGATTAAAGTGGAGGTGCTGTGCGGTACGCAAATCCCGAAGCCGTCACTGCGGGAGAAGGGCGACATTGTGGATCCCTACATTAAGATGACGATCAACGGACGCCAAAACACCGAAGTAAAGACGAAGGTGGTACGCAACAACGGTCTGAACCCGTCATGGATGGAGAACTTCGTGCTCCACTGCGAGAGCAAAGAGGTGGATGTGTTCACCGTGAAGATCATGGACGAGGACACGACATCGGCGAACGATCCGGTGTGTGAGATGGTCATCCCCGTTCGCGCGCTGCGTAGTGGCTATCGGGCGATTCCGATGAAGCTGTGCGAGAACGGCGCGTCATTGCCTGGCTGTGCCATTCTCTGCAAATTCGAGATTGAGGATGTCAAGAAGTAGACAGTCAATCTGTTTCGTGGTGGCATGCACGCGAGTTAGCGTTGACTTCATAGCAGTTTTATCGCTTTCCTCTGAAACGACGGCTCAAGACTGCATACAGGATTATTATGTCATCATCTGTTTAGTTGGTGGCCTTCACCTATTCAAAACGAAGAGAGCTTTTCGCTTGTGGGTGTGAGAGGGGGTGTCCTCACAGTCTCGCTCTCTTGGTCGTTTTCTCGCATTTTTCTCTTCTTCTTCTTTTCTTAATAAGGGAGCTCCGCTTCGGATTCAAGGTGACATGAGTGCAACCCCTGAGGACTTTAATACACATGAAGGTACGCGCAGTGTTTGCAAAGCTAGAGGATACACGTATTTTTATTTTCTTTTACCTTTTCACGCGTTCAAAGTGTATCATTCATTCGTAAGTTTGCGATGTGTTTTCTTTGATATTTCTCCAGTCCTTCTTTTTCTTTTGTTCTTGTTTCTCTGTATCATTTTTTGATCGAATTATCTCCTCCGCGCTTTCGCGTCGTTCATGGTGTCGTAGAACCCTCAAACGCTGTGCTCCCATCTCTTTCTCTCGCTTTGGTTTTCTGTTTTTGTTTTCCTACCTGAAACTCGGAACTCGATCCTGACAGAATAAAGTCAATGATCTTGGACGAGCGAACGCCTCGCAAGACTTCTCCTTGGTCTTCATTGAAATGAAGCCTGTGGTTGCTTTACGTCTTTCTCGCTTCACGGCCATCGAACGGAGCAATGGATTGCGGTTTAGTAAACGCATAAGCTGACGTTTTTGTCCTTTCTTAATGTATGTGTTGTTGCGGTTTCTTGTTCCGCGCCAAGGCGGTGGCTGAGTGATCTTCCATCATCACCTACTTCATTTGTTCTCTATCTTCCTTCCTGACTGCGTTGCGTTCACATTCACAAGAGGTGTCGTTTTTTTTTTCTCCTTATTTCTCCGTTGTATATCCCACCGGGTCTTCCCTTTTGCTGGGCCAGGTTATGAGACGATCGCGTCCCCTCTTCGCCTTCTTCTTTTTTTGAAAGTTCGTCTCTGTCGCTCGTGTAGCGCTGCAGATCGTTGCGGCGAGTGTTTTTCGCTTTCCTTTCCGATGTGTGCGCATATGCTCTTGCAAAAGAAAGAAAGTACGAGTACGAAACTGCGAAGCATGTTTCATTTCATATTTGCTATTGCTACTGTTGATGCCGCCTTTTGAGGTCTTTTTTTGGGGAGCGCACAATCACGCAGACGTTGGAGAGAGGTGATGCGAGCTTTCTGATAATGAACACATGAACGCCGAACTAGAAATGTCAGCGTTCTTTTGCTACGAGTTTTTCTTCGTTTATGAGACGAACGCAGCGTCGACTCTTTCATTCTGTCTTGTATGTCCCATCTTTGTTCCTGCTTTTTTAAATCACATGCGACTTCTTCGAGATCGAAAAACAGAGGCAGCGTTTAACGCAAAGTCGAGAGTATATATATCTAGGAACAATATCTCATCCGGTGTGGTGCCGCACTCCACGTCGCGTTCAGGCACGATGTCTCCTCTAAGTGCCAAAGGTTTATTTTGGTTGTCGGTGACGGCCGTCGCTGTCATGCTCTCCCTTGTTGTCTTCGCCACCGCAAAGTCGTGCAGCGGGACCGTCTGCACGCCCTACGTGGCCGCCGTAAGCGGCGGGACCGGGTGCCTGCGCAAGAACCCGATCAATCTCCGCTTTGTGCTGCAGATGGCCCAGGAGAACAACTACACGGTCAACGGGGTGCTGAAGAGCACCGCCACGTTCGCCTTCACGCCCTGCGTAGACGACATCGCTGCCCTGGCGCTGAACACCGCGCCTTTCCTCGCCGCCGGCTACGCCGTCACCAACAACGCGACGCCGCCTGTCACGTCGTATTACCTGACCGGGAACCGCTCCGACAAGTATTTGTCTGTGTTCGGCTTCGGCATGTCGAACCAGACGACAGAACCGGAGGTTGGTGTCTCCACCGGTGCGGTGCTCGTGGCTAAAAACGGTCTTGAAGCCTGTGGGGATCCTACAATGGTGGGTGTCGTGACACTTCTGTCGCTGGAGATTGGCCTGCACAAGGGCTACTTCAACTACGTGGGGCAGTCAGGCCAAACCACCACCACGATCCCCAATCCGAATTACAACGCATCGATGTGCGGCGACGAAAGCGGCTCTGGTGGTTCCCGCCAAACAACAACGACCACCGCACCGAAGGCCAACGCCGCGGCGAGCTCCTCCGACTCCATTGATTATTGCAGCAAGACGATCACCGTCAACGTCCCGGCTATCAACGTGCAGCCGGCGAGGGTCGGCTTCGCACCGACGTGCAACGCGCAGGATCAGTGTACGCTGGGCGACCCCGACGCGTATGTATGCATTGGCAACGTCACCGGAAAGAAGAACTGCGGCCTGTGCTACTCAAACGCGGCCACGTTGGCAGGCAACTCGTCTGTGACGGTATGGGTGAGTTATGTAGGCACGGACCGCAAGAACGTCGTGATGACAAGCAGCGGCGACAACCCAATTTATTACTCGAACTTTGTCCGCAGCGGCGCCTTCCAGACGATCAGCAGCAAGTTCAACAGTCTTATCCACGGCAACTTCTCCGTTGTCGGTTTGAACGTCAACTTCGCCAAAAAATGACACGGCGCAGGTCGTGAAGGTCGTCGCGTCTGCGCTACCAAAAGAATCGAAACGACGCTTCTGCTTTTTGCATATCCCAATGCCTTATATATATATTTTTTCTCTTGTGGCATATTTGCGGCATAATACGACGCCGCTTGCCGTTGTGTGTGTGTGTATGTCCTCTGTGGTGTATTGCGGTTGTGTCACTCTCTCTCTCTCTACCTCTGTGTGGTTGACCGCGGCGGCCTCAGTCAAATGGCTCTCGTTAAACGGCAGGTGCTTTCTTCTGCTTCTCTCATTTGAGCTTTACTATTTTCATCGTTTCGTTGCCGTCGTTGCTCGGCGTTGGCGTGGTACGTTGCGTTTCTTTTGTGTGAAACCGGACGGATGCTATTCTTATTGTTGTTATTACTATTCCGAACACATATTCTCGCTTATTCTTTTCGGTTGTTTTAGCGATTGTCAACGCCGATGGGCAGACCAGCACGTCTCCTAACGCTGTTGCCTGTGCAAAGGAAGTCGTATTCGCTTCGTTCATCTTCTTTTTTCCCCCTTTTGGAAGCTTGAAAAATTGGTTTAACGGGCTAGGAAACAATGATGGTTGTTTTAGGTTGCCCGGACGTCTGGTAGGTCACCGTTTTATTCAAATGTCACACAAGGTCAAATCTATTTCTTCTCCCTTTCCGATTTTTTTCCCTCTGCTGTCTTGCTTGTTCCCCTCGTCACTTCAGCTGCCCAGCCGGATCGCCTCACATTCGGACATACGCGTACGCTAGGCCGGCGCCTCATTGAAGTGGCGACGGAGCACCTCCTTGAATGTGAGCAGCGCTCGTTCGCACAGAAAAGAAAAACAGCAGTCATTGTCGCCCACTTGGTTCACTCGGTGTCGTTGATAACGCCAAGCGTAGATCTCAGACGACAAAGCTGCATAGAGGCTTTTTTTGTAGTGGTGGTGGTCATCGTTGTTTTACTCTTCCAATCCTTCGGTGGTGTATGTGTACGATAACTGTTGTTAACGTTGCCGCAGCCGTCGAGGAATGATTTGCGTCCGCATATGCACATCTCCGCCAACTCACTCGTGCGTTTTGGGCTCGTCGCAATCGGCATCTCCGGCGCTGGTCTCGGTGGGCGGTACGTCTACAACGTGTACGAGCAGCGACACCCCGCTCGCAACGACAGATTGCTCCAGCTCGCCGCCATCGCACTCTCCGGCGAGGTAATCAGCAAGGCACTGAACGACGCGGAGGTGCAGGAGCAGCTGCGTGTGTTCGGGCTGCAGCTTCTCACGCACCCCGTTGTGGTGGCGGAGTTGAAGAAGTTTTTTATTCGCGAGCTCACCACCGACACGCCGACGCGTGCGGCGCTGCGCGCCTTTGTTGTTCGTGACATTATCAAAGACGAGTGGGTCAAGGAGGAACTGATTGGGGTGGCGGAGAACCTGGTGGACTCGGTGAAGGACAATCCGGACTTGTACCCATCGCGCGTGCTCAGCTGGCTTGGCGGTTGCGCCCTGGAAGGGATGCGGCGAGACGAGTTTAAGGCGGCGGTACGAGCCAGCGGAAAGAAGGCGCTCTGGATTGCCTTCATCGGTCCGCCGCCGCCTGACACACCGTTCGACCCGCCGTTTTGATGAGAAGAAGGGAGGAATAGAGCGCTGCGTGAGTTTATATATATATACATACGGCGTCAGGTGTTCCTGCCGAGTAATTGGTGCGTGCGCCACCTCTAAATGGGAATGCAAACTGTGATGCTCTGTGACTCTTCAAGGGTCGTGTATACTTCGTTCGTTTTGCTGCTTCTTCACTATTTCCTTGCAACACCGCATTCTCAGCGATATTATGAAAAATAAAAGGCGTTAAAGCTCCTCGCAACGGATGTCATCAGAGGAGAATTTGTATTTCCCTCTCCACAGTATCAGCTGCTCAGCAGCTTCTTCATTTTTGTTTTCTTTTAGTGCGCATATAGTGGCTTAGGCTCAGCTGTGCCCTCCCTCTCCCTCCCTTATGCGTCTCCACATCGTCTCGGTGCGCATCTCTCGCTCCACCTTTTCTCTCACCGCCTTATTCGCCTCACATCTGGGTTCTCCGGCTTCCAAAAAACAGCAGCAGCCGATGATTTGCTGTTGAAATTATTGCTCATCGAGTGGCGGTTTTGTCGTCGATAGAGTCTTTTAGATCGATTCAATAGAGCAAATTTGAAAAAGAATAGAAGGAAAGAAGGAAAGAAGAAGAAAATTTTTCGATTACTATTACTGTTATTCTTTTTCTTGTATTTAGACGCGAAATCGGCTGGGTGCGCATGGATCGCTTCCGCACCACCCTCTGCCTCAACGGCGTGCGGACGTCTGACGGCACACCCCTGCACGTCGTCGATGCGCAGACACTCTCCCTCAACGGCAAACGCATAAATGCGGACGACATCGTAGAGCGGGCACTACCGAGTCGGGTGGCCACCGCGATCGAAATGTCCATGGCAGCCGCACCGCCGTACTCCTCCTCCGTCTTCTTTCTTCTAGGCTCACAGGTGCACCACGGGCGGCTGGGCGATGCTGTCGTAAACTACGTTATCCGCGACCAAGCGCGACACCGCTCTCTTGGGTTTGATCGTCAGGTGTCGCAGCGCGGGGTGGTCATGGCGGTGCCGTCAAGCACCCCCGCAGCGGTCGGGGCAAAAGACCACGGAGAGACGCCGCTGCAGTATGAGGAGTGTCTTGTGTTCGCCTACGACGAAGGTGCGGTGGCCTGCGAAACACTGCGGGCCAGCGACACCGCCGCCACCATCGACGAGGTCCTCGGCACGCTGCGCGTTATTTCCTTCGTCGTCTTCAAGTACGCCCTGCACAAAAGCTGCGTCGTGCTCGTCGGCTCGCACCTGTCCACGACGCACATGGCCGCGCTGCTGCTCGCCAGCCGCCGACACGTCTTTCTCTATGTGGATTCCACGATGTCTGCGCAGGAGGTGGAGTCGACGACAGCGGAGATGCGGCAGGTGCGCGACTCCCTCTGCGCCTTTGCGCTGCCCCTCGACGAGGCAGTGCAGCAGGCCCGTGCGGCGGCGGCGGCTGTGGCAGCTGACGCACACGCGCCTCCTCCCCCTCGCGTGAGTCGTACGCTGGACGCCGTGGCTCACTCGAAGGAGGAGTACGAATTGTTATGGATGGCAATGACGGCGGAGGGGTTTGCGCGTGTCTCTGCTGCTGCCGCTTCTCCTGCCCGAGCGGGCCGCACTGACCAGGCGGAGCGAGCCGCATCGGCGAAGCTTCAGCAGGAACTGGAGGAAGTCCGCGCGGCGCAGCAGGCGACCGAGGCGGACCTCAAGGAGCAGCGGCAGACACACCGAAAGGAAGTGCTCTCTCTCCGCGAGGAGATTCAGCGTTTAGAAGACGAAAGATCGACGAACCGGGATGTCGCTGCGGCGAACGGGTCCCTCGGCGGTGGTCGGTCCGTCTCACAGAACTTGATGCCGTCCTTCCAGCAGCAATCGCAGTCTCACCTGCAGTCGTCCACGACGGACGCCACCGTTGCCCAGCTGCAGCACGCCTTGCAGGACGCACTGAAGGCTCAAAAATTTGCGGAGGAAAAGGTTCACTTGCTCGAGCTGCGGCAGTTCATGTTTGATGGTGATGGTGGTGGTGGTGGCTCGGCGCGTGTGGCGCCCGTCTATGGAGCTCACGCAAACGGCTCCGTCGTGTCCCCCCGGCCGTCACTGCGGCTGCCGACTGCTGCGCTCGGACCTGCACCCACCACCCCCACAACGGCATCGTGGGAGCAGTCCCTCCTGCAGCAGGAGAACACTGCCCTCGTCGCCGAGTTCCAGCGGAAGGAGAAGGAGTGGCAGCAGCGTCTGCACCAGGCCTCGCTGGAGGTTGCCCAGCTGCGACAAGAGAAAGCAGTGATGGAGGCAACGCTGCAGCTGCAGTCGCAGACCATTTCTGCCGCCCAACAGGCGTTGCTCGACAGCCGGGCGGTGCAGGAGCAGGAGATGAGTCAGGTACTGCGTCGTGTGCGGACCTTGTCGCAGGAGTCGCGCTCACGCCATCGCAACCGCACGGCGTCTGCGGAGGCATCGGCCGCGCGTGCGACCGGGGGGAGCGTGCACGACGATGTACAAGCCGGCACACCGCCCCCGCCACGACCGTCGCCCGCTTCATCTGCGAAGGGTTCAAGAAGTGGAGGGATGATGAGTCCACCACGGTAGGCGTGTCGGTTCTATGCATGTTTCCACTGCTGCGGCATTATGGCCTTTTGGGGGAGATCTCCGTAGACTGAAATCGTATCTTCTTGAAAGAGTGCGCGAAGGTGCGCATCCTCGCGTTGCTTTCCTTGTTGGTTTTTTACTTTATTGTTTCATGTGTACCACTACCGTTTTCCTTCGCTTCACTTCATCTACGCAACTCTACGATGATTGTCGCGTCAGCGCGCTCTTCTGTCAAACTTAAAAAAAGAAAATAAATGAGAATGGAACAGCGTCTGGGATGAAGGTTGGTGCGCTTGAAAGCTCTTGTGTTCTGTTTACCCGCACGCCGTTGATGGTGTCTGCCTCTTTGATTGGATGAGAAGTGTCAGAGAGAGGCACGACCTTTGCATTCAAAATACACACATAAGAAACAAAACTGCTGATTTGAGCAGCACAGAGAGGAAGGTGGGAATAAAACAACGTTTCCTTTTTTTAAAATTCCGTATAACACTTCGGCACTTTTCACCCTTCGCTGCTCAGCTCACTTCCCTCTCCTGCGCCGTTTTTGTTTTCTGCTTTACACGCCGTCTTTCTTTGTCGCTGTTCTCAGCATAGTAAACGTCAAAGCTGATCTGTTGTGTATATACAGGTGTGTTTGCGTTTGTTTGTCGCCGCCCAGAAAGCATCTCTTCCTAGTTCTCTACTCTACTTTTATAAAAGAAGAAAAGAAAAGCTGTGGCTCCCGTTCTAGTCATCAGATTAATCACCCACTTTGAATTGTTTGCGCCTGTCAAATCGCGGCGATCGTCACGAAAAGTGGCGACACACGGGAAAAGGCGTTGCAATTGAATACGCGAAGACTTCCTTTTCTTCCTCTCTACACATTTCGAAAGAAAAGAGTCGACCTACAGAAGAGAGAATGACGAACAACGGTGGCGGCAACGCCAGTTTTAGCTCATCGGCCAACGGGGTCCAACTCGTCTCCACCCAGCGCGGCCGCAAGGTCTACAAGGTTCGGGGGCAGAACTTCGACATCGAGGACACGTACACCGTCACCAGTGTGATTGGTCATGGTGCGTACGGCATCGTGTGCGCCGCGTTGGACGACCGCACGTTTCAAGAGGTCGCCATCAAGCGGGTGAGCCGCGTCTTTGAAGATTTAATTGATGGCCGCCGCATCTGGCGTGAGATTCTAGTGCTGCGTGTGTTGAAGGAATGCGGGTGTCGCAACATTCTTCGGCTGATCCGTGTGCTGCCGCCCCGCGACGCCATCACAGAGTTTCGCGACCTGTACATGGTCACCGACCTCTACGACGTGGATCTTTTCTCCATTATTCGGCAGAACAAAACGGAGTCGCTCGATATGCTGCGCCGCGTTAGTGTGCGCGTGCTGCGCTGCTTAGCGGATATGCACTCCATGGGAATGGTCCACCGCGACATCAAGCCCAGCAACATTCTGCTGCGTGATGAGAAGGACTCGGAGGAGGCCATTGTGTGTGACTTTGGACTGGCGAGGGCGGGGCTGAACAACCTGAAAGAACCTTTAGATCTGACGGACTACGTTGTGACGCGCTGGTACCGCCCGCCGGAGCTGCTGCTGATGTGTCCGTACAGTTACCCGATTGACGTGTGGGCTGTCGGTTGCGTGATGGCCGAGTACGTGACGCAGCGACCCCTCTTTGCAGGCCGCGACTACATCCACCAGCTGCAGTTTGTGCTGTCGAGTATTCCAATTACCGGCGTGGAGTTCATCGAGCGCAGCAGCAGCAGATCAGGCCTGGCAAATATGAACGAAATCGCGAAGAAGTACAAAGGCACGCGGCCACTGCCACAACTGCTGTCGAAGCTGCCGAAGGACGGTTTGGACTTGGTGACGAAGATGTTAGCCTTTGAGCCGGACAAGCGCATTACAGCCCAGCAGGCGCTGCAGCACCCTTTCTTCAGCAGCGTGGGCGGTGCGGACTGCAAGAGCTATCCGTCGCCGCCGGTGCTGGATCTTGGGTTCGACATGCACGCGGAGATCTCCGAGTACCAGCTGCGCCGCGCCATCTGGGATGAAATGGAGTACTACAAAAAGGAGCTAAAGAAAAAGTAACGTAATCACTCTAGTTGTTGTCGCCGTGGGAGAAAACCAACATTTCCGCTTTAAGGCTAGCGGGAAATGCGAGCGCGCGACAGAGCGTGTGCGAGAGATGGCACGATGCACGTGCAAGGCTCCTGACACTATTGAGGCTGCCCGTGATGGACGTCTGCGTGTAGTTCCAACGAAAGGAAAAAGCCGCTCGTCGTCGTTGCCGCTCGTTTTGTTGTTTTTGTGGATCTTCTCCTCCTTAGATGAATAGGTTGATATTTGCCTTTCTATGCATGTGTGTAGGTGTAGTTTTGTTGTTGTTACCGTGGGCAAACTCATCAAGACCTCTTTTACAATTTATGTGTTCTGCGCTGTATTTGTTGGGCATTACCACCCTGCGTTGCCGTTGTGATCTTTCCGTGTCCCGCTGTTTGCATCATTCTTGTATCTCTCCCTTTCGCCTCTCGTCTACTGTTTTTATTTTAATATTATTATTCCGTTCAACTTCGCACATGTATACATCGAGACGTGCTTTGCGTTGAACATGCAGACCTCTCTGTGAAGACTTCTCTCGCGCAACGGTGAGAAGAGTTGTATTGTCAAGAGAATTGTGAAAAATGATCCAATAAAAGGTTTCTGAGGAATCCACGCAACGAAGAAAGAAGGAAAGGTTTTTAATCGCCACTGACGACGCGGTACAGAGCCCTATTTACTTTCTTTTTTGTGCTGTCTCATCGTCATCATGGTGAGGCGTCATTGTTTCTTCTATTTAATGTCGAAACCTGTCGTGAGCTTTTTGTTTTGCGCGAATCCATGCGTGTGTGTCTATTTGACGGCGCCATACGGCCCATGCGTTTGCCTTATCGAATGCACATCGACGTTCAGAGCTGCCTGTTGGGCGACCTCAAGCGGCCACACTCACACAATCTTCCTTTGAAAAAGGACATGGAATGGGCGTACTCTGATACTTATTCTTCTCCTCCCTGTTTTCTCCTCTTCTCCCTTTTCGACCCTTTTCCCCTCTGTATTCATTCGCACACACACACGCACACTCAACATCGATGGGTGTGTGTGTGCGCTCCCACATGTGCGTCATTTATCATCTCTCCACGCACCGGTAACGCAAAACAGATTTGATTATTGAAGTCGTCATTGCATCTTTTGCGCTTTTTTTATTTTATTTTCTTTTCCGTCTATTTTCTTTGCTTTTCTTGAGCTCCGCGTCGTTTCATTTGAGAAAGCAGCATCAAACGGCACTCAGAGGGCAAACGGTCCAAATATAAGAATCACCGTAACCGATTGACGAACCAGGTGGTGCAGAAGAACACTCAGACAGAAATCGTGCGTTACTCTGTGTTTTCTGTTGCTGCTGTTTGCTGTTCCGTCGATCTTTATTCATTATTATTACTTTTTATTTTTGCTGAAAGATCCATCAATCAAGAACACCAAAAAGAATGTTTCTCTGCTGGGTTCTCGTTGCCGACGCGCTCTATCGCGCGTACACGGTGTTCCAGTGGATCTGGGCGTGCGTCACGCAGACTGTGGATCGCTACACCGCACCCGTCATTGACGTCCCACTGCCGGAGGTGAACTTCCCAGCGGCTCCCGCCGCCGAGACGCTCAACCCCCGCTCCGCCGGCGAGGGCAAGATCCAGTGCTACGACAAGGGCACCAACACGCCGATCGGCGTTGTGAAGGCCTACTCCCCCGACGAGGTCCGCGCGGCGGTGGAGAAGGCGCGCACGGCCCAGCAGATCTGGGCACTCACTCCCTTCTCCACACGCCGCAAGCTGCTCTTTGCCCTGATGGACTACATCCTGGCGCACCAGGAGTTCATCTGCAAGACGGCCTGCGTGGAGTGCGGCAAGACCATGATGGACGGCACGTTGGGCGAGATGCTGACGACCTTCGAGAAGTTGCGCTGGACGGCGACGCGCGGGGAGGAGGTGCTGCAGGAGGAGGTGCGTGATGTCGGACTCATGACGATCCACAAGCGTGCCAGCGTGCGCTACGTCCCTTTTGGTGTGATCGGCGCCATCGTCTCGTGGAACTACCCCTTCCACAACATCTACGGCCCCATGATCTCCGCCCTCTTCGCCGGTAACGCGTTTATCGGCAAGGTGTCCGAGTACTCCTCCTTCTACGCGTCCTACTACGAATCCATCGTGAAGGACGGCCTGCGCCAGCTCGGCTACTCGCCCGACCTCGTGTCCTTCCTGACGGGCTTCGCTGAGACCGGGGAGGCGGTGGTGTCCTCGGTGGACAAGCTCACCTTCATTGGGTCGCCGGGCGTGGGCAAGATCATTATGCGCAACGCCTCCGCCACGCTGACGCCGGTGGTGCTGGAGCTGGGCGGCAAGGACCCGGCGGTGATCTGCGACGATGCGGACATGAAGCAGGTGATCCCGGTGGTGATGCGCGGCAACTTTCAGAACTGCGGTCAAAACTGTGTTGGGCTTGAGCGTATCGTCGTGCACGAGAAGGTCCATGACCAGCTGGTGGAGGAGGTGACTCGGCAGGTGCGCGGTCTCACGCAGGGGGCGGCGTCGCAAGGTCAGTACGACCTTGGCGCCATGACGATGGGGAAGGCGGCCATCCCGAAGATTCAGGAGTTGGTCGAGGCGACGGTGAAGGCCGGCGCCACGCTTGTGTGCGGCGGCAAGATGAACGGCGACATGTTCTACCCGCCGACCGTCCTCACCAACGTAACACCTGACATGCCGATCGCCCAGGAGGAGGTCTTCGGTCCGGTGATGGTCATCATGAAGTTCAAGACGGACGAGGAGGCGGTGAAGATGGTGAATGCCTGCGCGTACGGCCTCGGCTCCAGCGTCTTCAGCCTCAACATCCCGCGCGCGCAGGCCATTGCCGATCGCATCCGCACCGGCATGGTGAACATCAACGACTTTGGCATCAACTACCTTTGTCAGTCCTTGCCGTTTGGTGGGGTGAAGATCAGCGGCTTCGACCGCTTCGCCGGACGGGAGGGGCTGCGCGGCAACTGCATCGTGCGTGCGTCGACGACGGATCGCATCCCCGGAGTGAAGACGGAGATCCCTGCTATTCTGCAGTACCCGATCCGCCCCGCCGCCTTCAATTTCATGGAGAACCTTGCCAAGGTCATCTACGGCCGCCTGCCCTCCATGGTAACGTCCGCCATGAAGCTCGCCACCATCAAGCCGGAGAGCGATCACAAGAAGAATGCGTAAAGTGCTCGATGCGAAAGGAAACAGAAGTAGGGAAGGTGGTGGGGATAGAGAAGGCCATCGCTAGCCGCAACCTGCACGTTTTCATTTTTTCTTCTTTTTCCACTCGACACGTTTACAACTCTTCATGAAAGTTTTTTCTTCTCCCGTTTCAAGTGGCAGAGAACGGATCGCTTCCCATCATTGATTTCGCGCTAAAGGGTTTGTTTCTTTTCCTGCTCTCTGTAACCTTTACAGAAGCAATCGAGCAGCGTCATTAAATCGCGGCTTTTACGGGAAGACGGTGCGGCGTTTCGTCGTGCGCCACAGTGGATCGAGGAGTTTTATAATTTTAACGAAAGCCAAATCAAAATTTTTTTTATGTTGTTTCATAACCTCAAAAAAAAAGGGAAGGAGCGCAAATTCACTTAAGCGATGTTTTATTTGTTTTACCGGTGAAAAGGGAAAAAATGGAAAGAAATTGTCTTCTAAAAGGAAAAAGGAGGGGTGCGAGGTGGGTGTCTAACACCTTCAGACGACCCATTTAACCACTGTGCACGTTGACGTTCAGCTCCTGATACGCGCCATCAACAACGTTGTATGTGTGTTCTTTCATGCCTCTTTCGCTTGTATTGGACATTGACGTCACCAAAAGACCTTTGACTTCTTTTCAAAAAGCATGTTTCGTCCAAGCGGTCATCGAAGTGATGGAGTAACGAAGGAGGGGAAAAGGAGGAAGTGACCACTGTTACCCGTGACTTGGTTTACTATTTATTCATGCGAGAGAGATTAGCCTTTAGCACGAAGAAGAAGAGAAAAAGAAAAGAACGCCTTCTTGTAAAACGCAGCGTGTGTATCATGCCGTGTTTCGCGTAGATGGCAGCCGCCACTCGGTAACGCGCTGCAGAGACGTGCATGGCTCGAAGGACAGCCACTGTCTTGTCGGGTTTGACTGGCATGTCGGATAATGCCTTTTTTTTCTATTGTTATTTATTGTTGCTTTGCACTCAATAAGAGAAGGCTGTCGACCGCCGACGGTCTCGCATCTGGCGCTGTACACGTGTTATCCGTGTCGTCCATTTTTGTTTCCTACCTCATTCAAATGCTTCTTTTATTTCTTTCTCTTTCTGTCATGGCGTCCTTTCGGTTGAAGCACGCTCACACGTACACACCAGCCACCGTCGCTCACGCAACAACGATGTCCGTTTTCCCGGGACTCTGTGGTGAGCTCGCCCCCACCAACTACCGCGTCTTTCTCGGAACGCTACCGACGCTTGCTATTGAGGAACGCTTTCTGCGTCAGGTGCAGGCGGTGTTTCCGTGGTACGCGTCACGCAAGCACGTGAAGGAGCAGGCGAGCGAGTTCCTCGAGGTCGACCTCGCCTCCTGTGATCCGGAGCTGCTCCTCCGCTACACTCACGTTTACTACGCCCGCCGGCAGATCTATGACGAGCTGGTCGACCGCCAGCTGACGCTGATCGAGACCGGTAAGATGGCTAAGGTGGCAGACAGCGCGCTGCTCAACTGCTTAACGGAGGTGAATGCGGCGGTGACACCTCGGCTGCACTACGAGCTGCATGCGCTGCAGCACGCCAAGAAAGGCTGTCGGGTTCCGCTGCGCCGGGAGCTAAGTCCGGATACCCCGCTCGAATCGCACGATCTTCTGTGCATGATGCGCGTGGTGGAGGAGGACGCCTGTGCGGTGCCCGACGCGGAGATGCAGGCCCGCGCATACCTGCCGCGTGACCTCTTGGAGACGAAGGCAAAGGAGTTGGCAGGATTGCTCTTTGCCGGGTCGTCATCTGCCTCCTCCTCGTCTTCGTCGTCTTCTTCATCCACCTCCAAGAAGAACGCTGGTCTTACCCTGGACAAGAAGGACCAGAAGCTGCTGCAACGCATGATCCCGGGCGATTACAGCAAGGTTGGCAGTGTGGAGAAGCTGAGGCCGGTGGATGTGACGACGCTCTACCGCTTCTTTGGCGAGCGCTTGAGCGGGCAGCCCGCCGACAAGTTCTTTGCCCGCTCCATGTGGGCCCACGTCTTCCGGAAGGCGGCGACCCATCCCACCTACCTGCGCCGCGCCTCCCTCTACTGGGCACGGCACAACGGTCTCGACCGGCAGTCCGCTTCGTCGACGATGCCGGCAGACATCGCCGCGGCGGTGTGCACGCAGCAGCGCCTCTTCCCCGCCCTGAAGTTCCGCTCGCAGTACCTCTACACCTCGCCTGACATGGCGCGTCAGCAGTGGAGAGCCGATCACGTGATTCCTCTTCTTCGTCTGTTCCCCTTGCTCGGCGCGCCTGCCGCGGAAGATCTCGCGGCGCAGATGGTGGTGGAAGGGGAGTGGGCCAAGCTGGGCATCGCAGACGACGCGGATCTTCTCCAAGACACCACGCTGCGCAGCTTGAGGGACATGGTGGAGCAAGCGAGCAGCCTCTACGAGTCAAACATCGATGCGGTGTTGAAGCGTGTGGAGGAGGGCGCTAAGGTTGTCTGCCCTCCGTTGTCCGAGCAGGAGTCGTTGACGATGCGTGCGGCTGATGGAGACGGTGCTGCAACCGAGGCAGCGGCGACGGTGTCTGCCTAACAAAAGCAGCGAAGTTTTTTTTTGCATGTGCCTGTTTGCAAGTTTCACCTTGTTGGATATCTGTTTGTGTGTTTGCAACACGCAGTTTCGTTGGGAGTGGCGGTGATGGACTGTTGGGTTTTTGTTAGTTACACAGCATCTTTAAAGGTGAACATTAAAAAGAAAGAAGTACTTCTCTCGGATGAAGTGTGGCAGGAAAGTCGGCGTGTGAGATGCGCACGTCCCTCCCTCCGTCTTTCACTGACACGCTTCATTTCCTAATGACTCTTTTTGCCGTCTGATTGATATTTCTGAGTCACAGCGCCGTCTCCCCTTCGGCTCTTCGCTTCTCAGGCGTATAAGACAAGCAACTTCGAATTCCCCTTCTCGAGGCTCTCCCTGTTTGAAGCCGCGATCTCCCTTTTGCACGCCTTCGTCTTTCCGCTTTTTTTCTATTCTCTTGCACAAAAACGCCTTCGCGCCGTGCGTTGAAGGTTTCTGTGGCCATGAAAGCTGGAGGTCTAGCAGCGCTCCTGGCACAGACCGTCGTGGCCGGCGACGTCAACGCCTGCTGTGGGGTGCTGCGACGCATTTTTAGTGAAACCTTGCAGAGCGACGTCATGACGCTCGCGCTAAGGGCGCCGCGGTCGCCGGGTCGACAGTCGCCACACGGGCCGCCACAACTCTCCTCCTCAGCCTCTTCCTCCTTCTCTTCGGCCGTCGTCTCATCCCAGCCTCATCCCGCTACGCGGGCGGGGAAGTTGCACCAGTCCCTGTTGTCCTCCGCACGAATTAGCGGCTCCGCCAGCGTCACTTCCTCGCTCGCGTCCGCCTCCCCCGCCGCCAGCTCTCATGTTTCCAATGCGGTGCACAACGATGTCGTCAACTTCGCCCGCTACGCCCAATCCCAACGCGCGCAGGCGAACTCCTTCGCGAATGCGGCGGCGCAGGCGGTGTTGCGCACCGCCTTTACCCCGCGCGACGGCACCGTACGCGCAGGCACGGGGGAGGTGGCAGCGGCAGCAGGGGCGGCGGTAGGCACCTCAGCTGCGTCATCCCCATCCCCACCAGCGATCCGCAGCGACGACACCAACTCTCTCGTGGAGCGAGTCTGGGCGCTCGCCAAGGCCAGCCTGCGCGACGACCCCACCCTCGTCAAGGCATCGTCGGTGCAGGTGCTGTGCCACGCTACGCAGCGCACCGGCTTTTGGCAGGAAGCGTTGCAGTTCTGCGAGCACCTGCCGCGGCCGCCCTCCCCGCTCTTTCTCTCCTCGCTGCTGCGGCCGCATAACGTGCAGCCCGTCTTGGCGCACTGCGCGCAGCAGGGGTGGGCGCTGGACGTGACAAACGCCATACGGGTGCTGGCGGAGGAGCACGGGAGCTGGTCCTCTGCTCTGGCGGTGGCCCAAGACGCCGAACATCGCTTCCCGTACGGCGAGGTGTATTCTCTCGGGGTGCTCATCCCCTACCTCGCGGCCGGTGGTGATGCGGCGCAGGCGCGACAGCTCTTTGAATCTGGTGTGGCTCAAGGTGCCTTGGTGGACGCGGCGCTCATTCAGCACCTCATCATGCAGACGGCCGCGCTGAAGCAGTGGGAGACGTGCCTGCACATGCTGCAGTGTCTCTACCGCACGCAGGAGACGGCCCAGCTGCTGCCGACCGACGTGGACTTCTTCCGTCAGCTGATGGAACTGTCTCCGAGCTGGGTGACGTCGCTGCGACTCCTCCACATCGCGCGTGCGTCGGAGGTGAAGCCGGACGAACGAACCGTGGCGATTTTGCTGACCCAATGCGACAAGGCAGGAGCCTGGCGTGAGGCGGCCGCCGTGTACGACATGGCGGTGAAGGAGGACTTTATTGACAGTCTCGCCGTCGGCTCGATGTACCAGACGCTTGTGCGGTCGTTTAGCGCGATGCAGCAGTGGCAAAAAGCGCTGGAGGCGCTGTCGTGGATGTCGAAGGCCGGTGACGCGTCGTTCACGGCTGGCATGAGCGAGTTGGTGACCCTGTGTGAGCAGTCTGGGCAGTGGGAGGCCGCGCTGACGGTTGGGGCGTCGCTGATGGAGTCTGGCACGCACCTCTTCTCCTCACAGACGTCGATGGCGCTGCTCTTTGCGTGTGCGAAGGGCGCGCAGTGGGCATTTGCGATGCGCCTCTTCGACGCGCAGCTGCACGACGTGCGTGTGAACCCGCACCCCCTGTCCCTCTGTGCCGCGATGCAGGCGTGCATATCCGCCCGCCAGTGGCAGGCCGCCCTGCGTGCTTATCACGAAGCGCAGGCCGCACAGCCGCGCACCGTTGTGCCGCCCCTCGCCCATCGCATGGCTGTCAAGGCGTCTGTATTGGGCCACCAGTGGAGTCAGGCCATTGCCGTGCTCGAGACGATGCGCCAAGATGGACTTCCGCTGGACAACAACAGCCAGCGTCTCGGTCTGTGGGCTGCCGCATTGCAGGGGCAGTGGGAGTTGTCGCTCGCCTTTTTGAAAGGCATCCCGCGCCGGTCCCGCACCCCGCAGGACCGCCTGGTGGTGCGGAACGCGGCTCGTGCGGTGAGTCCAGCTGTGGACGCGATCGCGCTTCGGCTCTTGCAGTCTCGCTGAAGCTCCCCGCGTCCGGTAGTAGGGAAGGTACTGCGCGTCTAGTCTCTGTCGTGCTACTTGCGCCTCTCATTTTGTTTTTCTCGTAATGGCGCTCGGTGCCTTGAGGAAGGAGGGGCCCGCCGTCGTACCTTGCCGAAGCTACCACCACCGCCTCCTCCCCCCTCCCACCTTAACGCTCCCTATCTGATAATAGCAAGAAAGAAAAGAAAAAGAAACGCCTTTATATTCATCCGGATGAAGGGGGGACATTTTCACCACGACTCGCTGTCGCCAACACTGTTCGCTCACCCTTCCCTTTTGACCTGAAGGCACCCAGCGGAGCACGAGCACGTTCGAGAGCACCACCTGCCTATCTTCACCCTTACGATAGGTGCCTTTTCCCTCTCCCTCACCTCTTTCAATACACACCGCTTTCCCGTACTTCCTCGTGCTTTGTCTTCTCTTTCTCTCCCTTTGTGTCCACATCATCCCTCCCTCTCCCCCTCCCCGTCCCTCTTCCTCAGCTCTTCGGCCCATCGCCTCAGAACGTAGGTGGCACTGTTTTTCTTTGCCTTCGACATTTTTCTCTCCCACTTCTACTCTTTCTTCCGCCTTTGAAGCCCCGCACGACGATGCCTTCTCCGAAGAACGCCCCCGCATCCAAGAAGGAGGATGGCTTCGCGCTGCCCGCTGGCCTCAACCTCACCAACGTGAGCAAAGAAGCCGCCGTGAGCGGTGCGATGGGGGCCGCCGTCGGTGTGGCTGCTCACCGCCTCACCTCGGACGCGCTCTACGGTGCGGGCCTGTGCTTCGCCGGATTGCAGTGTCTCTCCTACTTCGGCCTCATCACCATCCACTGGAGCGCCATTTCGGACGCCGTGGAGAAGGTCGCGGACCAAAACAAGGACGGCAAACTGGATGTCGAGGACGCGAAGATCGTCTGGCGTCGCTTCATGGGGTACGCAAGCCGCGGTGTGCCGAGCGCTGCGGGCTTTTCTTCGGGATTCATGATTGGTTACAAGTATCTTTCGTAGTTGTCGTAGTTACTTTCGCCTTCCTTTTTCCTTTTTTTTTCTTTCCTTCCTACGCCCCTTCTTCGCCTTGTAGAAACTGCAACGAAACGACTGCGTGGCGGTTGAATCGCTCTTACCAGTGTCAAAAAGTACTTGTATATATATCTAGGTTTCTTTTATTATTACTATTAACGACGTACAGCTGGGCAGTTGCACACTCCGTTGAAGATGTCAAACTGTACACCTCTTCGCCCATTTCTACTCCATCAATGTCAGTTCTTTTTTTTGTTTGTTTGTTTTTCGCAACGCGACGACCGTGTTTGTGGGAGAGAAGCTTTCGTCCTCACACGCACCGGCAAATAACGTCTTCTCACGGAACTGTCATCATCACGTTCTACCGCAAAGGCAAATGAAAAAAAAATGTGTGTCCTTTGCAGGAGAACCTGTTCCCTTTAGCTGCGATGCTGGAAGGAGAATCTGTCCCCGCTTTTGTCACGAAGGTGTCCTCATCTTACGGAAGGAGACGAGCGTCTTTTCTCGTGAGCGATGGCTTCTCCGTCGCACGTTTCAATCAAATGCACAAGTATTCTTCCTTCTCCTCCCCTCTCATTCCCTTTTTCACCTCATCGAATCACAACAGAAGAGCAGAAGTCCGAAACTCCGTGTTAGCCGTGTTGTAGTTGAGGGCACCACGACTTTTTTCTTTCCTTTTTTCTTCTTTGCTGTTTGATTTGTTTATAGTGGACAGTGTTCTGTTCCGGATTGCTTTATCCTCCTTGTGCATCTCGCAGCTTCACGCCTTTGAACACACCTCTCTCATAAAGATGTTTGCTACCTTCAGTGGTTGGGTGTCCTCGGCCGCAGACGCCGTGAACAGTCTCTCGGACCAAGGCCTTGATGCGGTGCGCCAGACTGGCCTCATCGACGCACTTCAGAACACGACGCTGCAGGTCAGCTCGACGGCACCCACCTCGCCCGATCAGCAGCTCGCCGTGAAGGATTTCATGACGCCACCGGCGACCTGGACAGGGAGCTCCGATGAGTGGAAGTGGTGCATCGAAGCGGCGCTGGACGATCGAAACACGTGCGCCATCACACCGACCACGCTGAAGAGCGATGATAACTTGTGGCAGGAAATCCACTCGTTGATAACGCGATTGAAAAAGAATGCAGTGGCGACGGCGGCGCCATCAACACCAGAGGCTGGTGCGTCTACCACTGAGCCAGTCGCCGTAGAGCCTCTGGACAACCTCAAAGGCACCTACACCCCGTCGGCCGACCTCGTCGCCTTCATTCAAGCGCACACGTCCATTTACGAAGTCCGCTCCTACGTCGTGCCACTTTTCACGTCAGACGAGGACTACTGGCTCAACCTCGGGTGGCGACTGACCTTATACCGCCTGTGTACCAACGCTGGTGATCTTCTAACGGTAATGCGGACGCTGTCGAAGCTGCCGGCGCGGCTGTACGACATCGCCTGTGCGGAGAAGCGCGCAGCTGAAGAGGTGGCAGAGACAAATCGCGCTGCAGCCGCGGGGCGAGAAGCGGCTCGCGCGAACAACAACGGCGACGAAGACGCCGACTATGAAGAGGAAGAAGTGGAAGAAACAGCATACGCTGGAAGGCCGCACCTCACCGACAACAGCGCGTACTGGAGCGAAAGGAGGAAGCAGTACGAGGCAGCGCAGGAGAAGTTCGCGTGGCTGCGCGAGACGCAGGACCGCATCAAGAAGGAGATGGAACTGGCGCGGGGCAATGTGAAGCTGCTGGAAAGCCTGCTGCAGCGCCAGGAAGCCTCCTCGGCGGTCGGCGTCTCGCTGCGTGACAGCTGCAACTACCACAAAGTGAAGCTGTCGCGCCTCATCGCGGACGTCTGCGCCGCTCCAGAAGACAACACCAAAGGCACGGTGCTCGACGCGGCATCGGGGTCGCTGTTTCACGAGCTGTTTCAATGCAACGAAGCTGTCAAGAACGTGCTGCACGCCTACGCCGGACTCAGCCAGAAGGGCGGCAGCGGTGGGAGTCCGAAAGCGCAGGCACCACCGCTTCGGTCCCCCACCCCGACGTCGCCGAGCCGAGAGGTTGCAACTGCCAACGACGCGCCTGCCTCTCTGTCGCTGGGGACGAAAACCCGCACGTCCGCCTCGCCAAAGACGCAATCCGTCGCCTCCAGCAGTGCAGTGGAGCTGAGTGCCGCGGGCAGCGCCAGTCCTGTCCTGGCAAGTGCGCAGAGGAACAGCAGGGACAACGATGACGACGAAGGCTCTTTCGAGGCCAAACTTCCATGGTCGATGGACGAATAAACATTCAAGGTTGAATTTGTTCTCTCTTTCTTTTCGGAGAAAGGCTTTTGCATTATGCCATCAGCGGTGAGCGGCATTGCCTTCGTTATTGTGATGTTCGCTCTCCCCACTTTTTTTTTCTTTTGCCTTTCCTTTCGCTTCTCAGGTCTTTTGCGCAGTCGCCTGTCTATGCGTTTGACCAACTTGCTTCTTGCTGAATGACCCGAATCTCTTCCCCCTCCGACATCCGTTTACCTCAACGCTGCCAACTTATGTTCATCTCTTTGGTCCTCTCCCACCGCTCGCACCCCCGGAAGGTTGGGTCAAAGTCGTCCGCAAATCGCTCCTTCCAGTAAGAAGGTGGCGTTTGAAAATGAAAGAGCAACGTCGGCGACCCGTCGCGCACGCCGACGACTTTTTTCTTTCTTTCTTTCATTGTCTTTTAACAGCTTGGAGCTCGAAGTGAACCTCTCGGAATGTCTGTACTTCTCTCTCCATCCCCCTCTCCTTCTTTTCCATAGCACGCAAACAGTACAAATCTCCGTCTTCGTATCCTTCGCGTTTCAGCTTTGCGTTGAATGAATGCCATCGGCTCCGCGTTCCCGTTGCTGACGCGCCGTGCCGGCCAACAGGTGAATACTGGGGCAGCTGCCCTCTCCACACGTCTGTGTGCCGTGACCCAAGCCGGGCTTCCTGTGTTGCGTTCTCAGTTGCAGGACGTCCTCCACGAGTCCTTTGTCCTGGCAGATGATGGATTGCACTGCACCCTCTCCGTAGGGCCGGACCTGTCGATTCCCCTCACCATCGTCGGCACCTGTGCGGCGCACGGCGGCGACGACGAGTACAGCGGCGACGATAACATCGTCGTGCACTCCGCCGGTCTTCCCGGCGGCTTCGTCGTTTCACGGCAAGAGCTCCTGTGCAGTCGAGCACGCATTACACCACGCGCACCGGGCACGTCGTCCGTTGCCTCCGCACCCCAGCCCTCTTTGGGGTCGGTGAGTTTGATGGAGGCGGTCAACGCGCACTTCGCGCGAGAGAAGAGAGCAAATCGTGGCGTCCTCGATGCTTTCTACACCCGTGCCCGCCGCCGACACTTCTCTCTTGGTGGAATGGCCCAGCTGCTGCACCGGGGGTCACAGCTGCACCTTGACGCGCTGCTGCTCAACTTCCCTTACCACTGCGGCGCGGCGCACGCCACAAAGCGCTACCTCGATATCACGCCCGAAGTCACCAACGTCTTTGGCGCGCAGATGCGCCACGGTGCGAAGGTGTTAAGTCGGTACGGCATCGCGGTGGGCGTCGGCGTCGTGGACCGCATGAGCTCCATGCAGTCGCCGGCGATGCTGTGGCACCCTTCTGGTGCCCCAGCCGCCTGCCTCGCGCCGCTCCTGCACGGCTGCGCGCTGCTGTCCGTCGGCACGGTCTCGCTCGACTACAATGGCCCTGTCCCGGGCAGCGCATTAACGCAGCGAGAGGATCCGCGGCGATACATGAAACTCACTTCCCAAGGCTGCTACGACGACTCGGTTTGGCTGACGGAAGGACTTTTTGGTGTAAAGCCCGGCAGCGCCTGGCCTCCCGTCTCTGAAGAAGGCGCCAGCAGAGCGGCTGGTCCATCCCCACCGTCGCATGAGGTGGTGGGTGTCGGGTACAACGAGGAGATTGCGGAGATGGAACTCCTCATTCGTGACGGCTTCACGGGAGAAGTCGTGGCAGCTGCGGATGTGTAGCGGATTCGAAAAGGGCCACTATGGGTTTGCTTCCGTATCGTATCGTCGCCACTTGCTCATCTCTGCGGCTGTTGTTGGTGTTTCTCCTACGCGCCGTCAGTCACTGTGTGGCTTCATGCATCATCTCTCCTCACAAAGAAACCTCTCCTTATTTATCGATCTCTGAACGATGCGGTTCGTTTGATGGCAGAGACGATCAAATCGACGTTTCTCTTTTCCAGCTGTGTTGCTCGCAGTAATTGTAGCGGTTCGAAGCGCTCAGTTCTATCGGTTCCGGAAAAGTTCTCCACGCAGTGCTCCGTTTCAACCTCCCTCTTCACAACGCTTTTCGCTTTATTTCTTCTCTGTCGTTGACTCTGCCCTAGGTGCACGTTACGCTGCGCATCTCTTTTTCTGTCAAGCATTTACCGTACGTACAACACCCCCTCCTCGCTCGTGTTTATGGTGAGCTGAAAGAAACTATTACAGCCTCCTCTTGGACGACGCAGCAACGAAAATGAGCTATAGTCGCGAAGAAATCGAAGAGTTCGAGGCCACCATCGCCGCCCACAACATCGTCCCGGTCGATACGTTGCGGCAGACGTTTTTCGACGACCTAGACGCGTCCTCCAAGGTGAACCCCAACCGCACCCGCGCGTCCACCGCGAAGATGGACGCAGAAGAAGAGCGCACGATGTTCCAGGCGCTGCGTGAAGAAACGTTTAATTGTTTCGGAGGCCAGCAGCTTCCAGACGAGCGGGATATCGACGTTAATGGCAACCGCCAACACCTTGTAAACAGCCCGCACGGAACGTCGCAGTGGAGGCGCGAGGCCTCCCAGTCGCACCGCTCTGTCGGCCGCCCGTCCGCCTCGCTCTATGAAGCCGGCCAGTCCAGCGGCGACAATCTCCCCTTCGCGCGCGCCTCCTGCGCTGTCCTCACCAACGTTGTTGCGGGCTCTCTTCTCGGCATCGCGCTGAAGCGCATCACCAGCGTGGCGGCCGCGAACCTGAGCGCCATTCTCATCGGCACGCAGTTTCTCTGCTGGAGCGGGTACGCGACGGTGCGATGGGGTGCCCTTCTCCACGACACCCTTTCATTCATCGTGCGCGGCTACCACCCATCAACGACAGAGCCGCGCAGCCGGCTGGCGCAAAAACGCGAGCAACTGCTGTTCACGCTCACCGCAACGATTCCGCGGCGTGCCTCGTTCTGGGGCGGCGTTGCCGTCGGCGTCGTTTGCCTTCAGTGAGCATCCTCTTTTTTTTTTTGCGCGGAAAGAGGTCTTCGACCACTTGGTTGTTGGTGTTTGTCTTTGTCTGTGCGGCGTCGGGGTGGGTGTTTTTCTTTCCCTACACTTCTAGAATCAAAAGCGAAAACACATAAGGAATGAGA